AAAAGCTTCGCATGGTTTCCGCACATGTGAAGTAGACAGGCAGCGTGTGACCCTGTCCAACCGTCACAGCGGAGCAGCGTTATGCAGCCGCACAGTATGAGCTGGGCATGCGCTACAATCAAGGCGAGGGCGTGGACGAGGTCTACTCCAAGGCCGTGGAGTGGTACAGGAAGGCCGCCGAGCAGGGATATGTGGTCGCACAGTACGAGCTGGGCATGCACTACTACAAAGGGGAGGGTATCGGCAGGGATTTCTACAAAGCCGTGGAGTGGTTGAGGACGGCCGCCGAGCAGGGGTATGCGGTCGCACAATACGAGCTGGGCATGCGCTTCTATAAAGGCGAGGGCGTCGGCAAGGACTTCTCGAAGGCCATGGAATGGTACCAGAAGGCCTCCGAGCAGGAGTGCCACAATGCTACAGTTGCAATGGAACTGTTGGCCAAGGTGGTGGTGGCGAATCGAGTGCAGATAAAGATGGGTTTGTTTCGGGGCATTTCCGTTGTTGGGTTGTTCGTCCTTATTTCCCTCATAAAGATGGAATCAGAGCAAGAGAAGTGAATCACGGCGGGCGCGGGTTTAGGGCTTTGTTTGGGGATTATAAGGTTATTCATAGGAGTAGATGGGTTTTGGGCTAAAGGGTTGTGCGGCCATTTCTTTTTCACGTTGATGTATTTCGGCATGTCTATCGTTCTACTTTTGCCGATTTTGTGTTGTGGACCGTGTGTCATAGGTATCCCCATTGTTCTTATTGCGACAACTTTTCAGAAAATGTATTTAATCATAGTACAGATACTAGTGATAATCTCAAAGAAACTAAAATTAAGTTAGTGGGGAGGGGTTCATTTCAACATTCGAGCAATGTTGACGTTTGAGGTGCCGTAGCACTTACATCTAACATTGAGTTGGCTTGGACAACGCACTGCATTATTTATCGATGTTGTTGTCTTGTCTCAGAATGGCGATAAGTCATCCAACAGATCAAGATGCCCCAGATCCCCCACCCCGTCATCATAATCTAAGAACATATCTGACTTTATCTGTCGTGGCTAACCTGGCAAATCTGAAAGCTCCGCATGTTGAGAGATATGCGCTACAGGAAGATGAAGCCGGCAGCCATGAAGGTGCGCCTCTTGGAGCTCGAACGTGATTTGGAAGTGTTATTACATGAGTCGGTAGTCTCTCTTAACTATCTATCGAACTATCTTGAATATTTTGACACTATGCATCAGGTATGTAGACTACGCTAAGTCACCCTCATATTACTAGTGTCGTCACGATGATTCGGAGGTATCGAGACCCAACTCTAACCTCCGAGTCAATAACATGCGCGACGCGTGTGCGCTTAACCCCAAAATACTGCGGTGTACGGTGGACCTTATGTTTTTGACTTCTACTCAACCAAATCACTCAATTAAACGCTCTTGTGAAGCTCACGCTACATTTGATTGGGGGAGGTATGTTTGGCGTTTAATTAGATTGATTGTCACAATCTAACACTCGCCCACGCATATGATTTTATTTCTATACATCTGAAATCAGATAACACCACACAACACGTTCGTTTGTATATATGCATATATTTCAGAATGCTGTTCCTCACGCTACGTTGCAATATCCTATTGCACTGACATCTCCCTACACGTTTTTAAATTCTTCGGCTTGAGCGTCTTTGTCAAAGCGTCCGCCACCATTTGCGCCGCTGGAATGTAGTCAAAGCGCAATTCGCCTCACGCTCTTCTCTTTTGCAAAAAGTGAGGCATAATGTCAATACATGCTTTGATCGCCGAGAAGCATTAGGATGCTTCAGCAAACCGAGTGCCCCTTGGTTATCTCCGCACATTTGGACCGCTCATTCCCAAATCTTCGCGTGTACACAATTTGCGCAACCATACGCCTTCTTTGCGGCACTCGCAGCACTCATATACTCCGCCTCCTCCGTAAATGCCGCCACCGTCAATTGCAGCCGACTCGACCAACTCACTGCGCTCCCGTAAATCAAGAAGACGTACCCCGTCGTGCTTCGCCTGCTGTCGACGTCTCCCGCATAATCCGCATCACAATAACCAACGAGCGTCTCTTGCTCCCCTCAAAGCTTACTCCGTCATTCACCCCCCCGCAAGAAAGCGCACCACCCCAAGTGCCGTCCGCCAATGATCTTCCGTTGGGTTAGCCATGTATCGTGCTAGCGCTCCGACGGCTTGTGGAATGCCCGGCCTCGTGCACACGCTCAAGTAGAGCAAGCTCCCAATCAGCTCGCTATAGGGAAGCTTGTCCGTCTTAAGAGGCTCCCCGTCCCTCATCAACTTCTCCCCCGCTCCCAGAGGCACACTCCAAGTCCTTGCTTCCGTCATCCCAAAGCTCTCGACAACCTCTCGGGTCAAATTCTTTTGCGTGAGCTTGACGGTCCGCGCCATTCGATCTCAGGTCAAGTCCATCCCCAAGAAAAACTCGGCTTCTCCCAAGTCCCGCACGTCGAATTTCGACGCAAGATGCCTCTTCACCTTCGCCAAGTGCGGCTACCCCGACGCCGCAATCAAAATGTCATCAACCCACAGGAGAACCCACACCCGCTCTCCGTCCACCACTGCGGAGAACAAAGCGGCATCACTCTTTGACGCCGTGAAGCCCAACTCACCGAGCACCTCCTTCAGCCGTTGATGCCAAGCGCGTGGTGCTTGCCGCAATCCGTAAAGCGCTTTTGAAGGCGACATACCGTCTCGGGTCCCCCATGCTCGTACCCCTCCGGTTGTTGCATGTATATCACCTCCTCCAATCCCCATTGAGGAACGCCGTATGTAGCTCGAGGTCCCGCGCCGCTTAAACACATATCCGGGATCAATCACTTGCAGGAGGTAAGTTATAGCCCGTACCGGATACACCCCAAAGGTATTACATAAGTGCTGATTGATGCACCGCACGCCATAGAACCTGGCCAAATACACCCTCTCCTCGGGGTATGGGTCCTCATCCATTGCCAGCTCATTCTTGCTTGCTCCTTCTATGCTCTCTTCGTTTGCCTCCACCCTGCTCCCGGCCGCAGCATTCAAGAAAAGCAGAATGCCATGCTCCTGAACATACGCTCGCAAACGCTCTGAATGATCGACCAGCCCTGCAGCCCAGGAGAGGGTGGCATGCATCTCAGGCTTCCGGAGGAGGCAGGTCGACAGAGAGCTCTTTGGGTATGAATGACTCGATCCTATGCCGGCGCATTACAAAATGAACAATCTTCTCAGCATTACGGGCATTGAGACGGCCATAACCGTATCAATCTCGAGGAAACCTTCGAAGCGCTGTACGACGTACGTCACGGGGTCACTCCTCGTCGTGAAACCAATCTTACTGACATTGACACAGAACAATGATCGTCCAACATAGATGAATCCACTTATGTCAGCTTCCATTTCGCAAACCTAACATTCGTAACATAACAATTTTCTTAAGTTCGTCTCACTTGGTAGCCGGACAGTTTGGCCTAGGCCAGAATTCAAGTGTTTCGGGCGTCGGGGGGACATGGGACTCACTTGAGCTGCAGTGTTCGTTGGGAAATGATGATCATGCAGCTCTGTTCTCGTATGATTTATTCCTGCTCTGTCCCATAAAGTTGCTTGTTCTGCCTCCTCCTCTTCAGCTCCTGGAGTGTCTGCCCCTCTCTCCTGCAGTGCCAAGGTGCTGGCAACGATTTTGGCATAAGAGCTCCAGTTGCAGGATGAAGCTTCGTGCCATACCATTACCAGCATGTGGCAATAAGCCGGCTGAAGCAGGGAACCCTTACTATGTCGATCCTGTGTGTCTGTCGGGGCGCAATCATGCATTTGCTGAAGTCAACAAAGTCTTCCTGGCTATCCCCCTCAAACCCCTGAGCGTTGTCCCAGACTTCATCCCAGTCTTGATCCCCAGAAGAGGAGTCCTGGTTACACAAAATTTCATGCGTGTGTTTGCCAACCGCTTGGCTGTCCTCAGCCCTGCTTGCGAGTCACGGGGAACATGGTGCTAATAAAAGTGCTTGTCTTATCTGTGCCTTTTTGTCCACTTTTTTAGCGGGAGGTTCGGGCTCGACTGATATACTCATCACCAGATGTTGCAAACACTCTACACGGGGCATTTGGCGCCTTTTATTGCCATAAAGTGCCCAGTGGAACACGGTGCCACCAACTAGATGCGACATTTTCGCATGAAGCTGCGGGTAATTACAAAATGATTGCACGCGTGCGAACAAAGTATGCGCGCGCACAGCGCGTGGAGGAGGTGCAGCGCAAACCTTCAGGATGACAGGTGAGCAGGCACGTGGCAGCCCTTTGTGACCACTTCCGGGAGGGTCGGGACCCAGTTCCGAGTCATTCATGGCCGGTGCGGACCATCCCGGGCAAATGTGCCGCGGGTACGTACCTATTATGAGTAACGGTCCCGACATGCATGGGGCGCAGGATACTTAGGGATTTGGTGGCCGGGGACGTCACCAAGTCTCTAAAGTTCGACGATAAGCTGCCTTACTTAGGGATAAGGGTGCGGCGTCGGCCTTCATGTCCCTAAGTTCGGTCGGGGCACCTTCTAGGTCACCGCAGCGACGCCCGGTTTAGGCATTGCTTTCGATTTCGAAAGAATTGTTCCTAAGGTCAGCGGTGCCCCCTAAGGTGGTGGCGGATACCCGTTTGGCGCGGGCCGCGAACTTAAAATCACCCCTGAACATTCATACATGCATAGCGGTTGCAAACGGCCGTTCATTTGATAAGGTGTACGTGGTGACAAGCCTGTTTATCACGAATCTTGACGTGAGCCGTCTTGAAAGCATACAATCCCGTCGTTTGTGAAAATAATCAAACAAGTGAGAAAGCCAGCCCGCACATGCCCATGTAAAGGCTCGGGAATGCTAGATTCAATGGTGGTGACTAACATTGCGGCCGGCAACCCTTGATATCCTTCATGCATAAGGAACTCGTCGGCATATGGGATACAATAGAACGTGAGAAAGATGACACATTGCCGGGAGAGGGCGTCCAATTTTTTTTTGTAGTACCGTCTACATTCATACATTTCTAGTCCGACCTGGGCGCATAGTAATTTTGGTACAAATGGCAAGTGCGACAGTGTGCTCAACTAATACCGTGAATCGAAACTCTGCCGGAGCAATACCAATCGCGAAACTCTGCTTGAGCAACTTTTCTCCTTTTTGTGGCATGCCGCGCAGGTTCGACAACCACCGCTTTTCAAAATGGACGCCACACGAGCAGAATCGTTGCACCACTGAAAATCGCTGTCCGCCGCTGACGTCGCGAGGGACTGGTCTCCCGACGCCAGTGACTCTCTAAGCCGTTCATTATGTAGCTTGTCAATAATGACTGAAGCATCGACCTCACAGGATCGACCTTGTAGACCAGATCCTCTCTCAGATCACGTTGATTAGCAAGTACTTCACAGTAAAACTCTTGTGACCTTGTCTCTTGACAATGTAGCCGCTGCCCTACATCTAGACTCGCGCTTGATGCGCTTCTCTTCCCCTCAAAGTTGGAAAAAATTTTCTCCGTCGCCCTCTCCTCCTACCTTTTCGAGCATGCACCACACAATGCCTACGTTATTTTGAAACAGAGCTTACTATACTCCCCCTGCCGCCATTACGTGCTGCATGGCTACCTGCATAGGCACGACAGGAAACCATACTATTACGTCAGCAATCCTAGAGAAAGCCAATAACATGATAAAACTTCCTGTTGAAACGTGAAGGTCTGAGAGTCACAGCAACGGATTTTTGACAACTCCGATCATTACGTAAAACTCCGAAGGCGCCGGGCTACTAGGGGCTACTCCTACCTTGGCGTCTTCGCGGACGGTTTCGAGGTCCGCTCGCTGGGCTTTGACCGCCAACTCCAGCAGGGCGAGCCGCCACTGCCGCACTTGCCCCTCCAAAGCCAGTATCTGCAAAAGAGGCAACGGAGGTGAATCTGCTCAACCCTCAGTCTCGGCCCTGTCCTCGCCTCGTTCCACCACGGCAGCACGCCGGCACCGCATGTTTCTCCTTCCCCCCTCCCACGCTGCCTCACCTTCCCCTCGGCCTCCGTACACACTGCCTGGAACGCGGCTGCTTGCGCGGGCGTGAATTCGGTGGTCCTCTCCAGCGCCGCATGCGCGGCCGCCCGCTCGACGGCCTTCTGGCGGCCCTCATCCACGGTGCGCTGCACGCCGGGGGGCAGCCCGTCCGCGCTTAAAGGGCCGGGGCCCGCCCCGCGCACCGCCATGTTGGCGTCCTGCCACGCACCAGCCGCACGGGTGAACAACCAGGGCGCACCCGCTACCCGCGGAACACCTTTCTCCGTCAACCAGCGGGGGGCATTTCAAAAATTGGATACGTGGCACTAAGCGGCCGGGGGCTGTCCACGACAATGCTCCGGCTTTCAGGTGCAATGCATACAGATGAACAGGGATTGTCCCCTCCTGAAGACTTTGCCATGGAGACGTTTCAGCCAAAGGATTTTGAACCCATAACGATGCCTGCCGCAAAGATTGAGGCCCCCAGGACGATGTCAACGAAAGGCCCCCATGTTGATGTCAACGTCACTTCTGTTTTGAGGAGGCGTTTGACGTGTGGTCCCGGCTCACAGACAGTGATGCGCTTGACCAAGCACAGGTGCCTTGTCAGCCCTGCTCGAATACTGATTGCACGAGTGTTGACTGCCGACCTGTTCTTTTTCCAGTCGCGAGAGATGATCTTCGGACGGCATGGACCACGCCACGGTGGCCTCCTGCCGCTCCCACTCGGGCGGCGGGGTGCGGCTGCGCACGCGCATCCCCGCACCATGCCGGCCGCGGCCGTTGGGGGAGGGGGACGACGCGTCGGGGAAGGCGAGCGAGCGCAGTGGGCGGCGCATGGCCTGCGGGCGGGAACACGAGGGAGAGCGGCGTGGGCCGGATGTGTTTGCGATGCAAGGCCGTGCACTGTGACGGCGGCACGTCCGTTCGGCAAAGTGGGAGGTATACAAGTCGACTGGCCATATCAACCAGCCGCTCTTGATAAGACCCGAAATCAAAACTGATCCCAAGGTCCCCTTCTGACGAATCAAAACGTCCAGGACTTCTGGCGACCAAGAGCTCCTTTGGAACCCATGTAACAAGCTCTCGTGTCTGTCATCACAAGATCAAGACGAGAGGCAACCCGGCAGAACTTAACACTGAAGTACCTGTTCCTTGTAATCTGGCAGCTCGGGCAGATCGTCTATCATTTGCATGAGGAGTAAGTCAAAAAAAAATGTGCACATCAGCTTCGACAATCGCGCATTCATTTGCCGCCACCTCAGGTTGCAAGTCTATCGTTCACAGAGGACCTTGTTTTCAAGACCAGGCCCGGCGCGGCGGGTGTACCGAGGGCGTGACGGGCACGACGGCGTCGAAGGAGCGGAAGTCGACTGCGCGGCGGCCGGACGGCTGGCGGGTGACCATGGTGGAGAAGCAGCAGTTGAGCTTGATGTCCGACGGCCGGTACGACGCGCGCGCCTGCAGCTTCGCGCTCGTGCTCGCGTCCACGCCCTGCACACACGCCGCACACACGCACCATGAGGAAAAGGAAGCAGCAGGCGGACGGTGGGCGGCAGGGCACGCTGCACGGTGTCCAATCTGCACAGTGGTCCGAGCCCGAGTAATACAGTCGGGGCGGGCGCAATGAGAGTACGGCTTCTGAGACGGGCAGAGGGACCGCAGAGGTGGGGGGGGGGGCAGTCCTGGAAGTCACGGTGGGGCGGCAGGGCGGGGCGTACCTCGAGGAGGACCAGAATCTCCATGTCGCACTGCTCCATCATCTGGACAGCCGCAGGGCAGGCGTCAGGCATCGCGGCAATGAGAGCTGGGCAAGGGAGCGGACAGGAGAGCCAGCGCAGCATGCAGGCGGCCGCACGGTAGACCCGCGATGCAGCACAAGAGGGCCGTGCTGGCGGTCCGGGCGAGTACCTCGAAGGTGAGGCCGTAGAGCGGGGAGGACGGCGTGATGGGGTGCGCCACGATGGCCGGCAGGCCCAGGAACACCTGCCCGCCGCCCAGCACCTGCGGCACCCCGCACCCAGGGTCACGCGAAGGGGGGCGGAGACGGAACGAGACAGACGCTCAATCCCAGCATCCGTCGACTGCGCTCCAACGGAACGGCAAGGCTTTGAATTCGTCTATTTTGGATGGATCCTTCATAGGGAGTCCAACAGGCGCTCTCGTGCTGTGTGCAAGTGGACACGGTCCAAGCAGATAAGAGAAAATGAGACAAGGGCGCTGGCCCGTACCGGCAGGGTGGTGAAGCGGAATACGCTTTCGTCCTCCGCTGCATATGGTCGGTTGATGGCCACCAGCATGCGCACGTGTGCCTGCGCCAGGCAGGGCCGCACGAGCCGTCAGAAAAGACAAGACGCGTACACAGTACGTTGAAGGGCGTCAAGGAGCAACAGATGTCACCGCCGAGCAAAGCGTGTAGCAGCGCCGACACCGCAGTCGAGGCGAGCCTCGTGTTCGCCCACCTCGATGATCTGGTGCTTGCGGATGTTGCCCACGCGCAGCGCCAGGCACGGCACGCCGTCCTCCTGCGGCCAGCCCACGTACAGAGCGGTCAGAAGTGAGGCCTCGCAAATATCGCGTGTACATGAGAAAGGACTCCCAGCAAAACATCGGGGCCCAGCCAGGCTCTCTACGGAGCCAGCACATCGTGACTCCGAGCACAGGCGTACAAGAAGCATCACGCACAACGTAAGGTCTGGCTCGCTGCGGGCGCCCGCTCACCTCGTATAGGACCATGTTGCGGCTGAAGCGGAGCGTCCCTGCGCGCTTGGCGGGGCGGGAGAAGCGGGCGTACACGACGCCGAGCAGGCTGTAGTTGACCAGCAACGTGATGACGCCCTGGGGAAGCAGCAGCGAGACCAGGCAGGGCGGACTCAGATTATCGCAGGATAAGCTAATAACCCCACCTGCCACTTATCAATGACCCGCGCTTCGTCTGAAGCTTACCGCCGTATCTGCCACTACAACCCTTGAAGCCTCTCCTCCCATCTCACGATTACACGCGGGTTGTCAACCTTTTTCGCATTGATGTTCTTGCCATCACTCACGTTGAGATACAGAAATCCTACAAAACGGTGCACGCTCGACAAGACCACTGAAGAGATGGAGGCAAGAGCTTCGAGAGTCCGAGAGAGTTGTCCGACCTCAAGCGCCACCAAGAAGTTGCTCATCCTGCAGCCAGCACTCCAGTGTCAGCGCCAGGTCTGGCAGCAAGTCCAGGGGGAACGCACTGGCAGGAGGGTCCAGACAGGGTCCCCGCAGGGGGGCAGACTGTGCGATCAAGGCATGAAATAGAGCAAACGGGCTCGCGACCAGAAGGAACGCAACAGGCCTGGAGGACAGACTGCGGGCTACACGAACTTACTTGCAGTCCGGATTGGGCACCATCTCGCCTCCAAAACCTGCAAAAATTGCACGATGCCATCAACGAAGTGTTGCAGGGGCAAAAAAACGATGCCTAGTGTAGCTACAGAAGAGGACGGTTTGGCGACTACTTGAGATCAGGACGGGCTTGTGATGCGGGACGAGATGGTACCACAGGCGGCGCTGCCACCTCCGGGTGCTCACCGATGGTCAGCGCAGACTGCACGCTGAACCAGATGGCGTGCAGGAAGGAGCGGACGCCCGGGATGCAGCGGTTGTGACGAGCCTGCACAGTCAGCAGGGCGGGCTGTCAGTGGCACAGCGCCACGGCACAAGAAAAACGTGGTTGGGACAAGGAAGTGACGAGCAGCTGACAGCCACAGTGTCCAAGGCGGAGGTAGGGTAGTGGCCCTGATGTTCACGGCAACAACAGGGAGGGTCGATCAGAAGGACGTCCCCGTGAAACAAAGCCTGCCACAGGACGAGGCGTCTCTCCAACAACGTCTTGCATGCCGTCTAACAGGACACGCCACTGACCCCCAGCAGGAAGTACGGTTGAAACCAACCGGCAAGCTGCGACATCTGATCAACTATGGGACCCGCTATCTTGTGTTGGCAGGACTACACGACTCAACACGAATATTCAAAGCTCCAGTCACTGTAGAGCAAGGCTGGACCAACAGCTGGCTTCTTGTGTTGGAAAGTACAGACGCGTCCTGTGACTCATCTTTGATTTTTATTGTTTCCTGCCAGAATCTCATCCCTTCCAACTTTCCCTGTTTGCTTCCTTAAACGGGATCTAAGACTGATAGTCTACGAACTTTCCGGACACGGTTGTGCACTTTGTTCTGGGGCCATTCGCTTCTTCCCCTAGAGCGCTCTTCTCTAGGGAATTTAATGCCTTCCCTCATGATGACATAAGGATTTTTCAGAGCTTTGATTCCATGGCAATGACAGTCTCACAATCCTGCCAGATCAATACCTTACAGGGCTCGCAATTTGGAAGTTGAACGTTGAATCTTGCCAAGGAGAGCCAGAGGACAGTTTACAAATCCTCCACAAACGAGGTTTTGGCACTTCTTCCCCTTAGAGACAGTGATCTCAACTTTCTGACTCCTTAGTAGACTGTGATTGTTGGAAGCTTTCAAATCTTCATTGGAAACTCCAACTTTCGAGCGCCGGCAGGCCCAGCTCACGTCGATGTAGAAGGGGATGGCGAAGACGACAAAGAGCAGGAAGTAGACGGCAAAGAGGAGTGCGGTGAAGCGCCAGTTCTTGAGGTTGACCAGCGTGTGGAACAGGTCGTTGTAGTACAGGAAGCCCTTGGGGAAGCCGGTCATCTCCACATTCATGCGGCCCCTGCCACACACCAAGGCACAGTCAACCAGGGGGGCCAGGACAGACAGCGCTGGGCAGCACCGCCAGGACAGCGCTGGCGCCACCCCCAGGGCGGATACAGCATCATCGCCCAAACAATTTGCAATGCAGTGGTGGTGGTGGTGGGTTAGGGTCATAATGTACAGGCGATCAGCAGCCCCCCCAGGGTGGTGCGCCAGCATGGACAGCGGGGAGCACTGGCGCTGCTCACTTGTGATCCACCAGTGGCAGCTTCTTCCCCCTGGAGCCGGACGCAACGCCCAGGTTGTTGAAGCTGCCGTAAGGAGTGGGGGAGCTGGACAGCAGGGGCGACTGCAGCTGGCCCCATCGGCTGCGCTCGCTGGATGAACCCGGGTCTGTAAAGGAGCCAGGCATGGTGGCGCCACCATACACCCAAAGAAAGCGGCCCCAGCTGGTGGCAGCTCGAAAGACACTTGTCCTTAAGGTCGACCTGTACAGATGTGATGACGTGCGCAGAAATGGGGGCAAAAAGATTGCTTACAAGAGTATCGGTACGATTCGGTAGCCACCTACTTGTTTGAGTCAATGTTTGAAAAGGGGGAAGTGTGAGCTAATTTATGGTCTTTTAAAAGACAGCAGAGCCAAAGGCACGCATGGCATTGAAGAAAACACAAGCGCCTCTAGTCTAGCCCCTCGTTCACAGTGCACATGGAACGCATGGACCAGCACAGACCACGGTCCACAGTACCTACCTAAAAAGCAGCTGTTGACATGATCAGTGCTTCGGTTTGTCCGACAATACCTACTCGAACCTGTTTTGAGGTGTGGTCCGCGATCTTGTACCGTCGGATGCTGCGGCGTCGTCGATCGGACGATTGAAAATCAGGAACATGCTCCAGGTGTTTCAAAAACCGGATACAGACCAGTCGACCATTTTGAGCAAGCCCAACTTTGCCCCAACTTCATCATTCATGAGCCACAACTTGAAATTGATCGAAGAAGTTAGGCAGGGCCGTAGGCCTGCGCTTCCTGCAAAAGGGACCGTATCTCAAGTGCAACAGCGCCTGATTGCAGCGGGAATTGAGAGCCTCTGCGGTTGCCATGCTGCGGGACGCTGCGGAGGCCAATGGCCACCCCAAGCGGCGGAGCGAGCGGAATGTGCAGCGACGGACAGACGCAATGGGGCCTTCGTCCGACGCACTACGGGAGGTGGAGGACCAGCTCGCGGACGATGACGCTGACCTCATTGAGCGGCTCAAGGCGTTGAGGGGCAGCGGGAGAGCTCCCGCACTGGTGGCGCGTGCAGCCCGGCAGGTGGAGAAGGAACAGGATAGCAATGCGGCTGGGCGGGCGGCGGGGCTAGGGCGGGCCGTGGGCTATGGGGGACAGGGCAGCAGTGGGCCAAGTCACCGGAAATCACGCTCTGGGCATGCTGAAAGCACGGAGCGGCCAGCACGGGAAGTACGGGAAAAGAAGACGGAGATGCAAGGGAGTAGGGAAGAGCCAGGGGCTGCAGTGAGTTTCATACTGATGACCACTTCAGGATGCTTGGAGCACAGAAGGCGACATGCCTGCACTGCGTGTTATGCTCTTGGCTTGCCTGCAATGGTTTGACTGTTGGACTTGCTGGCAATTGCTTGGCAGTGCAGTGCATGCCCTTACATGGTGGAAGAGGATTGTTCCTGGAAGCTCCTGTGGCTAGTCCTCCTCATCCGCCCTGCTCTCTCCAGCGGAGCCGCCCTTGGGAGCCTCCTGCGCCTCTCTCCGCTGCTTCCCCGCCTCCGATGCCCCCCGCCTACTCCGAGCAGCGCTCCGGTGCCTACGAGGACGATGAGCTGCCCACGTCCACTGGCCCCCACAGCCCCCCGGTGGTTGGACCCTCAGCGGTGACTGTGCGGCGCCACGCATCACGCGAGAGTGAGATGCACCGATCGCTGCACAGTGTGTGAGGGCGTACATGAATCCACCGAATTTGCCACTGTGTGTGGTGCAAACTCCTTGTTACATACAACGAAGAGATGCGGTGGATTTGCCTGCGTGCACGGATGGGCTCAGGGAAGACTTTCTCATGCCAGGGCTGCGAGAGTTGCGGGAGCTGGCTCGAGGGGGTTCAGCAGTGCAGGGCCAGGACTTGCCAGCCAGTGAGGACACAAGCAATGAGACAGCGTTTGGAGAAATGTCATGGGGTGAGATATGTCCCTAAAGTGCAAGCAATGAGTTGCAGGTCAAGTTCTGCCAGCTGATTAATGCGATTGGCAATCTGTGCAGGGCCCACATCTGCTGCCCATCTTTGTTGGCAATGCGATCTAAGTGGCCTTCAATGACCGACTAACTTGTCAATTACCGACTAAATTGTGAATAACTGAGGTGATTGAATACTTGTCAGAAATTGAGTTTTATGTGATGATAGAGGGATTCCTGGTACGTGCCTTGCTAAGTTTGAGTGCCCCTCCCTCTACTAGTTCCCAAGTTGTTTGTACTGCTCCCCTGTCTTGCGCAGCCAGCTTCAAGGCTCTGGTGCTGTGGAAGAATGCTTCGCAGTCGAGCCTGGTCTTCGGTGGGGGCACCTTCTTCATCCTCGCGTCCAGCAACATGCAGGAATGGCAGACCAGGTAAGCTGGCCTGCCTGATTTTGCTGTCGCTTGTCACACGAACTTGTGCGGAGCCAGTTTCCCTGGGATCCGGAGAGTACCGTTGTAGCTTGACTATCTGTCGATTGGTCATTTTGAGGACTGACCGAATGATCTAGGTCATTAATGCTACCTGGCTATTTGTCAACCAGAGGACTTGCAGTTAGGGGAGCCCCAAGGTTTGCTGCCAGTTATGCTCGAATCCCCAAAAGGCCCCAACTTTCTCTTCGATTATGTTGGATTCGGCCTGGCTTTTCTCTTGACCAGTTTCCCTTTGCCCCTTCCCTTGCTGCATCACTGAGGTGTTCTCTCTGTTGCCTGTGTAGCCCACTCACTGTCGTGGCCTACTGCTTCTTGGCCTACACCGCCTTCAACTTCGTCCTCACCTTCTCACGCCGGTCAGAGCAACCCCATCCATCTCCCTGGATGCCGCATGTTCCTGTTCCTGCTTACTGATTCCCGAACCTTATTCAAGCTTCTCCCCTGCCTGCATGCCCTCTCGGCAGTTCTTGCCCTCTTCCGAAGCCTCAGCTTCTTGTTGCCTCACCTCGCGGTGCTCCTTGCCTGTCTGCAGCCACGCCCCGTCTCCGGCCCTGGCCCCTGTCACGGAGGCGAGCGTCCTGCCCGCGGTGCGCTTGGCGCTGCCCCTGTTAACGGCCACCAAGGCGGTGCATGCGCGCCTCTTCAACGGGGACACCACCACCACGCTGCAGGCACGCCTCCCCCGCTCTACGTGCCCCTGTTTCCGTGCAGCCTCTCTTCTCCCAGGCAAACATCTATTCCTCCTCAAGTCTTACTGCGCATGTCCCGTGCGCTCCCTGTCTCTTGCTGCCCGGGTGCAAGTTGGCTGCTACCCCATCTGGGTGCCGTCTGACTCCCCTGGTGTATCCGCAGGTGGCGCTGGTGCTGTGGCTGCTGGCGCAGTGCGGGCGCTTCATCACCTTCTGGGACGTTGCGCGTATCGGTGAGAAGCACGCACTTATTGGCGCTCCTCCTTGCGCGACCTTGTCCAGGCGCTCGTGCTAACTGCCTGATGCGGGTATACAGCGTGGGCAGTGTGCTGGGCTGGCGTGCACGGCTTGGCCCCCCTCCGCAGCCGAGCAGGCAAACTGTCCTGGAGCCCCTGCTGTGCTGCCTTGCTCGTGCAGCCTCCTTGGGCTGGCTGGGGTGCCCCGCTGAGCGACGTGTCGTTTCCTGCAGCCTTCTTTGCTGTCTTCCTCCTGCCACGCGTCTACCTTGCCTATGCGGACGTCATCCAGGCGGCAGGTACGCCAAGAGCCGGCTTTGGGTCCGCCTCCAGCTGCTTGCTTGTCTCTTTCTGGTCTTGGGAGTCGCATCTTCCTCGCGGGACCAAAAACTTTAGGAATAGCTCAAGTGGTTAGAGCGGCTGTTTTGGCTGACAGTGAAAATTCTGAGTTAAACCGAATGGTCGTGAAATCAATCAGGGGTGTAGCACGGTCGACCTTTTCAAAGTGTTGCTGCATATCGCGTAAGCAGTCCTGTCTTCTCAGCTGATGAGGCCGGTATACTCACGGTACTCCGCATCTTCCTCGCGGGAGCCTTGGCTTCGAGAAGCATCCTTGCTTCTACTCGATCCTGCGACAATGCTCAGATGCATGGCCCTGCGGGTCGACCTGTCGTTCTGACCTGCCCGTGTGTGTGCGCAGGTCGATCGATGTTCCGGAGGTGCCGGCAGGCGGTGCTCTCGTTCCCGCACAAGCGCAAGCTGGCCGCCGTCTGCGCCCTGGGCGCGTGGCACTGGCTGGCCCTCCCCACCAAGTGCTTCCTAGGTCAGCCCCGCGGCTCCTCCCCTGCTTTCGACAAGGGCATCGGGCGCGCTGTGACTGATGCAACCCACCCTCTTATGCGCCAGTCTCTGTGCTCGTCGGCCGGTTGGCGGCTCCTGATCCGCGCGCCCTCCTTTCGTGCGCAGGGTTCGTGCTGCTGGTGCTCCTGCGCCGCTACCAGGAAGGCCACTCCCAGCAGGTACGCCGCTCCACTGATCGCCGCGTGTCTCGCCACGAGCCTGGAAGCACCACAGCCTGTGCGTGCCCCTTGTTCCCGCTGTGGATTCGTCTGTGCTGAACGAGCCCCAGGAGTTCGTTATGCCTCTGTGTGACCCTTGCCGTGGGGTGCAGGTGGATGCGGGGGTCGACTTCGTGAAGAAGCAAGCGCGGCGGCTGTCCAGCACCACGCCCGGCGGGCGGAAGCCGGTCACACGGCGTGCCACGCTGGAGGAGATCGACTAGTTTCTGTGGACGCGTTGTGGACCCGCAATGGACCGAGTAAGGGCAAAGAGATCATGCGCGCTGCTTTTCATACACGGTTAGCTGTATTTAGTAGAGGGCTTCTCTCAGTGATTACCACGCGACATCAGGGATTACGTGCTTGCGTCCGAGGTCGATTGTGTTTGAGCATGTTGCGGCCACACCGAGCACCATCATCTAGGACCACCCCTGCCCACTCGGACACGCTCAGCTAGGTCGGCCAGAGGAGTTGGGCCAGGCGATTTAAGTTCGGTGGTCAGTCTGCCCTTCTATACTCCAGCAATCGTTGAGGTTTCGATGCTTGTATTAAAATTCCCCTACTTGTGCTTATCATGACTACATGTGTTGCTCGGTGGTGGACAGTGCACTGATGATTGGAAGGTACCTGAAGCGCCATCTGGGCAATTTAGCACCCGTTTCAAATCAAGCAGAACCACTTCATGCCGGACTGTACAATCTCTGACGTGGCGTCAACCGGTTGTCCTTATGCATGATGGAGTCACGCACCATCCTGGGTCCATATGCACCTTGCAGCTACTAAACTTGCAATGCAGGATCATGATCGCTCTTGATCCTGCAGACGCATGCGGGATATCATTCGATCCTGATCGGTCCGATCAGGTGAGACGTCAGTGTACATTGGACATGCGGCTTCAGAAATTATAAGCAGCGCAAAACTCGTCGCATCGAGTTTGTATCTCATTATGTATGCAGATGACCGGAATTGCGTGCGCAGATCCAACTTATCCGCACCGGTGCAGTGATGCACGGTCCTAGCTGCATGGCAAGCAAAATCGCCCCCAGCTGTACAAAATTGCTGGCATGCCACTCAGGCTGCATCATTGATCATGTTAATATGTACCATCACTATAGCATGCTGGACGGTGGCGAGTGCAAGTGGTCAGGCAGGCTGATTCTGTACGATCGACAATTTGGCGCGACTGAGCTCAGCTGCAAAGTGCCGTTTCGATCATCGGCAGCTGCACCGAAGAAGCCAGCTCTTAGCAACTGAGAAACGTTTTGCCAGACCTGCGACTAATAACTTCTCCTGGAGCTGATTTTATTACCGTGCCAGTCAGGCTAAAGGTATCGCTTCTGCGTGGTCCGAAACGTTCTATTGCGACCTTCATCTGAAGACCTTCCTTCCACCAACACTGCGAAGCTAGCACCAACACATATGCACCCACTTCATCCGTCACCACGGGTTTCACCCCTCCGGCGGGCACCCCTTGACACGGAGACGCCCGGATGCATTGTACCACCTGCACCTCATGCAACACCATGAATCAATGGACCCTACTACTGTCACGCTTCACCTGCGGAGTGCTGTACAGAACGGCTCCTCCCCCACCCCCCCTCGCCACCCCCGCCCGCTGCTGCGCGCGCTGGCTACCAGATGCCGAGCACCTTCCACCAGACGCCGCCCACGCCGAGCCAGACAACCAGGTTGACCACGCTGCACAGGAAGCCCAGCTTCCACCACGTGCCCAGGTCCACGTAGCCCGCGCCGTAGAACACGGGCGCGCTGCCGATGCCGTAGTGCGTGAGGCCGCCCATCAGGTTGCTCGTGAACGCCAGCACGAGCGCCGCCACCATGGGGGGGGCGCCCAGCGCGGTGGCCACCGAGAGGAAGGCGGTGAACATGGCACCGATGTGCGCGGCGCCGCTGGCAAAGAAGTAGTGCGAGTAGAAGTAGAGCAGGGTGAGGATCAGGAACGCGGGCTGCCACGCCAAGCCCATCCCACCCACCACCTGCACAGCAACGCAGCGCACGCAGGGGGTCAGCCATGGCGGCAGAGGGGAGACGGGGGTGCAATAGAGCCCCTGAGGGTGGGGAACCCTTCAGCAGACGCATAAGTGTAGGCCGTCGTAGCACTGTTCATGGGAGCCGCAAGGGAGAAGCACAGACTCCGCTTGAAGGCGGACCGCGGCCCAACGACCTAGACAGTCCCTGGGAATAAGTACCAGCTTATAAGCAGGTACTTGGTAAGGCATGCCAACCAAGGACTGCCTAGAGCCACCATGTTCCAGGCAAAGTCCAATCTTACTCTGCTTCTCCGCCATGAGTGGCGGCTGAGGCAGACCTCAAACAAGAATGAAAGGAGAGTGTGTGCATTGAGGTGCCCACCTTGACGACGGTGTTGGAGAACCAGGCGATGAGGCCGTACTTGTTGAGGTAGCCCGCCATGGCAATCAGCGCAGCGAACCAGACGAGGGTGTCCCACGCGGTGCCCTCCGCGAGGCACTCCTTCCACGTGACCACGCCGGTGGTCAGCAGCGCAGTCAGCCCAATGATGGCCGCCGTCACCGCGTCCACCTTGATCGCAGCGCCAAAGATCCACAGCAACACCTGCAATGTGCGCACGCCCCATCAGCGGCCAATGTCAGAACTACAGCACAGCTTATGAAGCCAAAAGGCCGTAGCAGCTGGAGAGAGACAGAGGGCAGAAGGCACACGAATTTTGGAGGTGACATCAAGTTTCAAGTATTACCAGACACAAACAAGCGAGAACATTCGACAGGAGCGCTACTTCAAAATTTACCCACAGTATGCGTCCTATCACAAACGAAATCTTTCTCATTGCTGCAATTGTCTACAATGTGGTCAATTTTATTGGTGCTCTTTGAAACAGCATGGCATGCCAGCACAAAGCCACTCTGTCCACCAATGCAGGACAAGAAGCGATGATCGCTAGCGTTCTCCTGATTCAGATGCGCACCCATGTTCAACGGCCCCACCCCCGCATCCTTCTCTAGATTTGCTACTCTCCATGTTTCCTTCTGATCTCATGAAGCCCCAGTAAGAACACCAATGCTGCTTTTTACCAGCCCAATCCAGGGTGCCCTGCCACCTGCACTGACTCAGCAACCAGATCCCTGCATTTCTGCTCCGTCCCCTGCGCTTGCGGCCGTGGTGCTCACCGTGACGAGCAGCGTCCCCGCCATGATCTGCTCGTTCTGCTTCATGGGCCCCATCTTCTCCAGGTTCTCCGCCGCCAGCAGCGGCGCGTCGGGGCTCTCCTTGACCTCGGGCGGGTACACCCAGAACAGGATGGCCGGCACCAGTAGCAGGCTGAGCAGGCCCGGCACGATGGCGGCGCTCGCCCACGTGGTCCAGCTGATGGTCTGCCCGATGACGGACGCGGTGAGGTTGACGGACAGCGGGTTGGCGGCCATGGCGGTGAGGAACATGGCGGAGCTGATGACGGACGTCTGGAAGCAGGTGGTCATGAGGTACGCGCCCAGGCGGCGCTCGCTGCCGTCGCCCACCTTGCTGCCGCACGCAATGCACATGGCCTTCACCAGCGGCAAGAAGATGCCGCCCGCGCGCGCGCTGACCGACGGGATGGCCGGCGCCAGGAGCGCCTCCGCAAAGACCAGGGAGTAGCTGAGGCCCAGCGTGGTGGAGCCAAACAGCTTCACAAACTGGTACGCCACGCGGTTGCCCAGGCCCGTCTTGATGAAGCCCTTGGCAAAGAAGAAGGCGAGCGCGATGAGCCACGGGATCTCATTGCCAAACGCACTGAAGGCGGCCGCAAAAGTGAGCGTGCGCGTCAGGATGCTGACGCCCAGCCCGATGAGCGCCACGGCGCCCAGCGGCAGCGGCTGCGTGATAATGGCGACAACGGTCCCCAGGAAGATGGCCAGCAGCTGCCACGCGTTGCGCGGCACCCCCGCCGGCGCAGGCAGGAACCACGTGATCACCCCCACCGCCACAGAGATGGCCAGCGGCTGCATCTTGGCGCCCTCCCACTTGGCAGGGGGCGTGCTGGCCGGCCCGCCAGCAGGAGTAGCTGCCGCAGCCGCCTCAGCGCGGATCCCTGCCCCTGCGCGCCTACGCAGAGCCGGCAGCCGCGGCACAGCCGCCGCTGCCACCTGCGGGATGGCCTCCCCTGCCAGGCTCTTGCGGCTGCCCAGAGCAGAGGCGCAGGGCTGGCCGCGTCCCAACACCGCTCCCTTGCGTGACACTGGGGCAATAGCCCGTGTGCTTGTCGCTGAAGCGCCATTGGCCCGCACTGATTGGATGCCACACGCAGTGCTGGCACGGGCCCCTGCAGCACGCTGGACGGCCGCCATGACCGCCATTGCTGACCAGACCCGACACGGCGACTTCCGCCCTAGGCTGAGTTCTCTGCAAATGGCTGGATCTGGGCAGCTTAAATGCAGCACTGTCGCACATGTGGGACAGACGCAAAGGTGGCAAGCAACTAGACACGGTCGTCTTTACGTGCCACTGTCATCGATGATTGCACCATCAATGTTCACCCATCCGATCACGACGTTAGATAATATGGTTAGGTACAGTGGAACCGGCGAGCGTGCATGCCGTACGATGAATGTGATTACCAAGTTGTGACGGCTCGGATTGCTCGATTCTGTTGCTTTGCACTGTTGCTTCATACCGTACCGTACGACCAACCTTACACGTTAACTTACACTGCCATGCAGGTACTGGGCGCCAAGGATCCTCAGACGAAAGAAGTGTTATGGCTTCAAGCATGATATGATGAAGCCTTCAATATGTCCTTGCAATATGCAAAGACCACTGGTCACGGATCTCACAGATTCCAGGTCTTAGTAGTCAAAAGTACCCCCGTCATGAGTTCAAAGCATGAGTTATTTCCAGCATGAGTTGGGGAGTTTTCGCGGATATCTGATTTTCTGCGGAAATAGCCCCTGCTCCAGAGATCAGTCTGCACGGACTGCTCGTCTTCGGACCATTCTCGGCGCTTGAAGCGTCCTCAATGCAACTTTTTTTCAATGCTATGCTCGTATTGGAGGGCTTTCAAGTGTGGCCTTTGACTTTGTTAGTAAAGAATGGGCTAAGACTAACAACACTTTGAACATGGCATGCTGGCCGAGGCCACTAAACCGCCACGATTTTGACTACTGGAGGTCAGGTCTCTGATAGACAGAGTATTGTTGCGCGTCGATCGTTGCAAGCTTTGTTCAGCGGCGTGCTGAAAAGATTCGACCCTCGAGATTAGAAGGTTGGGTCCACTATTGTGCACGCTTTTGAAAAGGTACGGCCGGACCATGGTCCCATGCAATTGCTCGCACACATATGTCCACCTCGTTTCAAACTTGACTTTCCGGCATATGTAGCCACTTATGAACCGATCGTGCTCTCTCAAGCCTTTCCTATTCATTTTCTTCGACCCGTCGACTACAAGTCTGGCGCGAGGCTCGAGTGCCCAGCGTTGGATTTGGGCCCCTCGTCGCTGTTCTTCAACCGCTTCTACAGTCGGTAGTGCTTCATAATCATGTTCAGAACGTTTACCTGCACCATACATGCCCCTTCGTGGCGCGTGGCTCCCTTCTCCAACGGATGAATCGGACTCTGAAAAACAGAAAGGCTGAACGGCGCTTTGACGTCCCAAGTGCAGCATCAACTCATCAACTCATAACTCGCTGCGTGACGAGTACTTCGCCGTTCGAGGCACATTGGTGCAGTTGCTTCGATGATTTTAGAGACAGAGATCTTGTGGATTCAGGATCATGCCGAAGTTGAGTGGTCAAACCCATTTTCTCGGAACGGAAAGTCCTCAAAGACAGGAAAGACGGCGAAGGTCAAACCAATGTGCCCAGTGGGCAAAAGTTTTGAACGTTGGGGATCGGCGCAAGTTGCCGGTGCACTCAGCGGAGTTCATCAGGATCCGAGGCCTGCTTGCTACCAACCATCGAGATGGAAGATCGTTTCTAGCTGCCCTGGAAGCGTGACAAACTTTGAAAGTGTCACGTTCTATTCTGCCAAGAGGGGATTTTGACGTTCAGAAATCCATAAAACAGCACATTCATTGTTGGTTTTGACTTGAAATCGATTCGTTTAAGCGCGGCAAGGGGTACGCATAGCCACCGAGACGAGGCCAAAGCGCTGATGACAGCTGGTAAGCATATCGAGCCCGAACGTCGTCCGAAGTCTTGGCTTGTGAAAAAGGACAATTCTGGACCTTCGGCCGATGGTCCATAAGGGGCTTTCTTCCCGGCTTCCCAATTTCGGCGGGCAACGAGCCAGTCCATGGGTCATTCAGGTTCGCGAGCAAGGCCAGTGTTCACACGGCGGATCTGCGGCGCGCCGCTTTGAGCCGTAAGATCAGAAACGTGGCATCATCGGACGGCGAACCATAGGTTTGCTGCAGCTGCCCACCAATTACTGCAGCACACATTAGACGCTTTCACAGACAAGGAAGGACCTTTCCTGCAACGTCAGAGACGTAGAACCGGGGTTGAACCCTTAGGTCAGGGCCGCGCCCTGTGTCGGGTCGGTAGCTGTAGGTTCCGGGCTGTGCCCGATAGTCAGACGCTGTCTGCTCAGGGCAGAGCCCTGCTCACCATACAAACACTTTTGCCCGCTTTTAAACTAGAGCGAACTCCAGACTTGCTTGATCTAGCCTCATTTGTATCTTCATGTTTCTTCTAGAAGAGCTGCATTCGTCGAGAACGGAAGAATTGCACTTTTGCTAGATGCTAGCGCAAGAATTGCGTTTCTCTGCGATTTAGCAGAAACATTTCAAGGATGTGCGCTTCATGAAAAGCAGGCCTAGCAGCAATCAGTGTAGCGGCCTTTGCAATCGGCTTGCTCGCTTCCCATGGTTCGCAGACATGTGTCGCAGTAGACTTACTTCCAAATATACGTGGTTTTGTTCAAAGCTAGACGAATATACACGATGCAAGACGTCAGGTAATGACTGTTCTGATTCCGTGATGCACGAGTATGCAACAGCGATCTGCCCTGACATTTGTTGGAAAAGGGCAGCTGCAAAGCACCGGCGGGCTGCATTGGGCTTGTTATGTACTGGGCGCTGCTCATGAGGAGACCCCCTTTGTGCAGAAGGTGACCCAGAAAATGAGCACCTTCTGATCCGGCGTATTTTCTGCGGTTTGCTGGAGATGCATAAGTTCCTAAAGTCAAGCCCTGAAGATGTTGAGTCCTACTAGTAGTACTCGCGGGGTGCAGTTCACGATTCATGATGTATGCCGTCGATGAAGCATGCCATCTGTCATATCCGGTGGCTCGTCAGTTCAAGCACTCGCACGGACTGCCAAGTTCATTGGACGTCCGAGCAGTGCATGACTTTTCAGAAGAAGGCGCTTGCATAAGCCTGTAACAAGTCATGTTAAGGGATACGCTTGAACGATGTAGGGCATGCTCATGAAGTGAGGCGGGTGTATGAGGTATGCGGGTGAGGGAGGGGTCGAGTGGTAGTGATGTGTGAAAGGTTGTGGACAGGGCTCTGCCCTGGTGAAGGAGGCACTCCTTAAACAGGGCTTTGCCCTGGCGGCCGGGGCTTCCCCCCTTATATATCTACAGGGCTCAGCCCTGACTTAGGGACACGTCCCTCATACGCCTCGGGCGTTGGCCTGATCCAGGGAAGCAACGTCTGCAATTATATCCTCAGAGATTGAGTCACTCCTGTGGGTCAGGTTGTTCCGGGAGAATCTTGCCGTTCCAATGATGCCACGTGACATAATCAACGGCTCAGAACAAGCGCACCGGAACCCGAGGACCCGCGACCTCGCACCGCCCCGTTGCAAGCGAACTTCGCGACAACGGCAAGCCGTCTATATATGCTGGGAAGGAGAAGAAGATGCGCTTGTCAATCAACTCAAGGCCAGGGAGTTCTGTCAAAATAGAACTCTGGAGTCAGTTTGAGCAGCGTCTAATGCAAACTTGAACCCGCGTTCATGTGCAGCGGATACGTCATGCAGGCAGGGCCTGGATGCCACCGGCATGAAGCTTATGCTTGAACTGAGTAAGGTAAGGTCGATGATTTTGCCTTGTTCAAAGATATTTCTGGGGTTGGCTGAACTTCAACGGACGGTTCAACGGTTGAAACGCAGATTGCGGCCTTCGAGAGATTGATGCACTTGACGGCAGCTACACACGTTGACGAGGCACTGTGTGTGGCGCAACACCGCGGAGCACTGGTGCTGAAGCCTGCACTCTTGCAGCTCGACAGAAAGATGCTTCATATTAATGCTTACGGACGAAGACATGAGGAATGGCCGGAGAAGGGTGTTTCCAAAAGGCGCTGGAACTGCTCCGAATCATGATGCGGTAGCAGCCCAAGGGTTCCACGTCTGCGAGCCTGCCTGGACAGGAGCTGCGACACGATCACGGAGAACTTTTGGACAAGGCCCACGGCTTGAGCTTGGCCGGTATCAAGCTCCTCTGAAGCGGGCTCCGTGAGGCGCTACCCAACTTCAACGGCCTATCTCGACATCAGGTTGCTGTCGAAGTTCCAAAGAATTTGAGGTCTATTCTTGCTTCGAAGTCTGCAGAAGGACCCCAATGTCGCTCTACATTCAATTCCAGCTTTTCCGACTTTGGATTGCATGGCTTTGGGTCAAAATTCGATCGATCTGTCGTTATCGTTGCACGTCTCGGCAGATAGGAAGAAGCGACTAAACTCGTTAGTACATACATCAGAGAAACCGTCAAGGAAAAGATCTGCAAAAAGAAGACAAACCAACAACGGATTTCAGGAGCATGGAAAAGCTACAGCCTGATCCATTTACCCCAGCTTCGGTGCTCGACCGCGTCTTGTTACGAAGGAGGTTATTACCATAGCAACACGATAGATGACGCCACACACATTCTGAACCGGCCTACTCCGTTTGCAGCGAGTCTCTGCCGGAACGGTTGCCTTACGTTGTTAATGCACTTGGCCAGTCGAGATCGGCCAGGACATTAGCTTTGCACCCGGCCACCTTTTCCGGCAAGCAGGGGCCACCCCACAGCACTCTGCCGAAGGGACTGCATAGACACATGCGTGCACAGGTCCACCGCTGAGTGAGGGTCAAAAGGTACACGGTCGGCTTCGAAGTCCATGGCGGCTCCTCCTTCACGCTTTTGGTAGTGCGCAGCTTGCGGCTCATCGTACCTTCAGGGCCAGTAGGTCGGGCCACGTCTACTGCAGCAGACGGCCTGTTTGCCATTAGCGCACCCATGATCCCAAGAGGCGCACCGCGGCCGCGCTTGAGATGGCGTGGCCGCCAGCCCCTCTGCACGCGGGAGCGGCTACGATCTGGCAGGGCGGCGGGCGCGGGCGCCTTGCGCTCGACGTCGTTTCAGGCTGGTAATTCGAAAGGTCTCACACCAGATTAATTTGTCTATTTGCCTGGCCATGTCGTCACCGACATAAGCAGGTGCAGAGTAGCATCTGTTCACGGGGATCCTGCCTCCCCCTGGCGGCATGCCCGATGGCGCATGCGAACCCGGCGCCGCCCAGAGGATACTTCAACGGGTAGTGCTTCGCGGAGTTCCTTTCGAGGCAGGCAGCCGGCATGCGTGATGGGGCCGTTGCGACTTGGACACCTCGATCAGCGCATTGAAAACGACGCGCCTCTTTCGAAGGACGCCCCCATCCGGACAGCCACTTATGGGGGGGCTGTTGAACCGGCGTCCTCGATGGCGTCACCCTGGGAGGGGCCACTCGGGACCTTCAACTTTGATATTCAAAGCGGCACCAAGCGGAGCTTTCCTGGTCTTGTTCATTCATAGATCTCACGAGCTCTTCCTTCGGACTTGTTATCCGCTACTTCTGATTGCTTTCCTGCTTCAAGCAGAGTATTATATGCAAGAGAAATCCATTCTGACTATTAGGGTAGATGGGCTAGCACTGCCTTGCTTGTCTACTTACGTGCTGAAGGCAACTTGGCATACTTCTAGATCTGCCCACCTTCTGATACTGGAATAGTGGGCTCACCGGGCCTGTTCCTTACAGAACCCTTTTGGAACAAGACATTCTAAAGGCTTGCAACGATCCGTCCAATCACCGCCAGGTACTGCAGAGGCGCTAAGCGGCCAGTGAACTTCGGGAACTGGGAGCAATGCGGGCAAGCAGGCAAGCTCTCGAAGGAGTTCAGCTTTTGCAGGTGCATTGGGCCTTGATGCCGGCTCTCCGAAGGATCTGAGCGGCAGAAGCTTGGCAACTTGACTCCTTAGAAGCCCCTCCAGGGAAGAGCACTTCATCTGCGCAAACTTCCAGAAAGCGCACCAGGACGAAGGGAAGGGGGCAAATTCTTTTGCAGATTCTTGCTCATTACTCCCACGTTTAGAGACGATTTTGCCACATCCAGAGCTGCTTTGCCTTCCATCCGGATTTTGCGAGCCCTAGATGCCCCCCGCCGCGCCTGCGCATGGCCCCGGGTGGCGCGGGCGGAGTGGGCGTGCGCGGCAGCTGGGCGGTGGCGGACGTGGCGGGCCTGCCCGCGCCGGGGCGGTGGGGGCACACCGCGCTGGCCGTGGACGGGCAGATGCTGCTGCTCGGGGGATGCTTCGGAGGACAGCACCTCACCAATCTCGTCGCATACAACCGGTGAGCGGCCGCAACCACCGCACCATGTGCGTCGTTAAATTTTCTTTATCTCCTCCGAAGTGATTTTGAAGACGCTTAACCAAAAACAACTGTGCATCCCTAAGATCGTATACCGTTCGTGGAAGAGGACTCGTCGGACTCGTCGTGCGCTTGTGCAGCGGGGGCAATTACGGCGCAGGCGTCTCTATTTACGCTGGACATGTCCAGCGATGTTTTGTTCAAATTCGCTTGCATCTCAACGAATACAGGTAATGCTGACGCCATGCTTGCCCCTGTGCAGCGCCACTCGCAGCTGGTCGCAGGTCCGCACAACGGGGGTGCAGCAGGGGCCGCGTGACAGGTCAGCCGCCCGCCGTCCTGTACTCACGTTTCACGAGCAGAGCCGCGCTGTTGGCGGCATCTCTCATACAGCGGCCTTCCCTCAACATTGTTTCGTGCGTCTAATGGGTTCTTGTCTTCTCAACTTCCCGTCCTATTCATCTCCCCGTCGTGCATCTCTCGCATTCACGACGCGCGAATATGACAGCGACAGATGCTGCCTGCAAGGACCTCAACTGGCAGCATTACCGGCACCGAAAAACGCCGCCGCTGCTTATCTCACGGAGATCGAAGTGTGGTCCTTATGCCTGCCTCTTCTACCCGGCCGTGCAACGTCCTGTCCCTTATTTTCAACCCCTTCATCTGCTGCCTGTGGTGCGCGCGCAGCCACGGCGCGTGCTTGGTGGGGCGGCGCGTGGTGGTGGTGGGTGGCACGGACGGGCGCGCCAAGCTGGCGGGGGTGGACGTGCTGGGACTGGACACCGCAGAGTGGACGCAGCCGACCTGCTCCGGCACGCCGCCGCAGCCACGGTAAGGGGCCACAGCAAGACGGGGACGTTGGCGTTTGTTGAATCTATGTAGAGACTCTGACGGAAGCCTGGCAACAAGCGAGGCGTCTCCTTCGGTTTGAGGTCCAATTCACTTGACAAAAAGAACTCCCTTGTATGCATTGTGCTGTGGTTCAAGATTCGATCGCCTGAGACGGACACAGATTCCGCGATTTGAGGCTTAAATTTTGATCAAGAGACTGGCGCGCTCTTTCTGAGCAGTACGTCGAAAGGGTAGTCTTCATGAATAGATGAATCTTCTAAAAGCTTAGTCTCTTGAATCGACCTGGCGACGAGTGGATTCTTAAGAGACAACTTCTATGCTTCTTGAACTCGTCTGTGCAATTTTCACGTCTCTCGTGCGCTTGTCGAGTGAACGTCGTTAAAAGCTGACAGTATCCAAACGGCTACGCGGGCCCTCCCCGGCGGCTTCTCGACTCTCTTAAAATTGCTGAACGGCCTCATTATGGCCTGTGCGTTTAGGATGCCTTAACGATCAGCAGGCTTTGCGCGCTTGAGGTTTGCACATTTCCCGCACGTTTCCCCTTCTGCCCCTCCGCCAGAGAGAGCCACGTGGCGTGCGCGACCGCGGAGGGCCACATCGTGGTGGCCTTCGGGAGCGGCGACGGCGCGGCCGCGTACCTGGCGGACGGCGTGTTCGTGCTGGACTGCGCCACGTGGACGTGGCACGCGCCGCCGCTGACGGGCGACATGCCGCCCGCGCGCGACTCGGCGGCGGCGTGCATGCTGGGGCGGCACATGCTGCTCTTCGGAGGCGACCAGGGCGCCAAGTACCTTAGCGACACGTGGCTGCTCGACACGCAAGCCTTTACCTGGGAGCAGGTGACGCGCACCCGGCCGCACGCCGCACTACCCACAAGCAGCGGTTGATTGCTCGTCTGCCTGCTAGCTTTTCAACGCTGGTCCCACTTTCTATGTGACGTCTATGTTATGGAGGAAACGAAATAACCTTTCTTGCTGGCAGTACCGAGACTTCAAGCGATTCGAGATTGTAGTCTTACCTGCAGCTCAACAACGCTTCCAATTTCTCCAAACGTCCATCCCAGTAACAGAGGCTCTTCCTTCTTCCCCGTGTGTGCAGGTGGAGGTGCCTGGCGCGTGCCCCTCCCCGCGAGCAGGCCAGACGGCAGTGGCTGTCAGCCCAGACCTGGTGGGCAGCCCTGCTCGGTGCCTTTGATTTGCTCGACGAAGAAATTCGGTTCAGCAGGAAGGGAGCCTAGTAGATCGCAGCATCTGAAATGGTTTTAAAGTGCCACGGTTGTTCGTACGTTTCCTTGGTGAACGGCATAAGCGCCGTTTCGGGTCCTTCGAGTACCCTTGGAAACTTGATTCAACCGTTCTCGTCATTTCAAAAGCCTGCATGTTGAATATACTGAAAGATCAAAGCAGATCCCACAAAGTCCCCATTACTCCAGTCAAGTTTGACACCATGTGAATGTTGATACGGCACCTAGCTGCCGCGGCGGCAATCTCTCCTTTGGATCCTCGCAGGCACTATTCTTCGGGGGCGTCGGAGACGGCCCCGAGGCGGGCGAGACGGTGTACCACGCCGACGTGTGGGCCTTCAGCCTGCCCACGCGCACCTGGCACCCCCTTCACACGAGCGGCCAGCCCCCGGCGGGCCGCTTCTCGCACGCGGCGTGCCTGCTGGATGGCGACATGTACGTGCACGGAGGTGAGCGCCAAAGGGAGCACGGCTCTCTCGAAGCACGACTCTCCCCAAGTCTCTAAAGAAGCTTTCCAGCAATACTAACGGTTAAAATTCAGGAAAATTTGTCCCTTCAAGCTATTACCTGAGAGCCCTGCGGTTGAAGCCTTCGAAGTACAAGATTTGTGTGTCCGCTGACTTGTGTCGCTCTTCTGCGCACCATTTCAATTTGGTCGCTCCTTCCCCTCTCCCCAGGGTGTGCCAAGGACGAGCTGCCCCTGGACGAGATGGCCATGCTGCGCCTCTCGCCCGCCGACGAGCCGCCCGCGCCCCCGGACGGGGCCCAGCTGGACAGCGGCGCGGCCGCGGCCGCCGGGGAACGGTCGTCCCCCGGCTTGCTGCGCATCCCGTCCCCAATGGCCGCGACGCCCCCGTCCTCCCCGGGCCTACTACTCAGCAGCATTCCGCCGCACCCCTCGGAGCTGCTGCCCGGCCCCGACGGGCCACCCCTCGCGGCCGCGCCGCCCGCCAGCTACGCCAGCGAGCCGGAGCGGGCGGCCGCCGCATTGTCCCACCCGCCGCCCCCTGTCGCGGGCGGGTTT